ATCTGGCTCTTCATTTTACCGACCTCGGAAGGAAGGAAGGCTGAGTCAACCTTGAGCCGGTGAGGATCAAACTGCCAAACTGCTGGCAGCCAGGAGTCAGCAAAAGTAGCCTGCAGTACTGCATTCTAACCACTGCGCCACCAGGGCTCATAACTAGCATCACACTAGCATCAACTTGCTTTCCTGGTGCTGAAATGTATTAGAACGGCAATGTGTTATAGAATGTGTTGTAGAATGGCAATCTGCAGTAAGAATTGCATAGCTACTCTTGAACTAGGCATCATTCGTTAGACTTACAGAGTCTCCCCTCTACTAGAGGTAACCTAGGCAAATGAAGCAGCAAAGCAACCACAGCTATAGCAAAGTTAGGGTGTCAAGACACGTTCAATTTGCCATGGCCACAGCTGCTCCTTCCTACAGCTTTAGAAGCATGACTTTACAACAGATGGGCAGGAAAAAGTGCCATCCAAGCCAGAGTTGGGACCTCCTCCCATTGCCACTGCTGCATCTCTACTTTCCTGTAGCTTTCCTGTAGCTTTAGACTTCAACTCCCAGAATTCCTCAGCCAGCATGCTGGATGAGGAATTCTGAGAGTCGGAAACCCACACGTCTTAAGACTGCCAAGTTTGAAAAACACCGCTATAGAATGAAAAGTATGGCTTCATGCCTCATTGTAGACCCCTGTCTTGTCACAGATCTGTACTTCATTTTTTTAAAAATCATCCTAAAGATTACCAGGGTGATATTCTATCCCAGACCTGTCAAACTCACGACGTCACGGAACTTTTCCCCCATTGCTGGCAATGGGGTGGGCGCAGTTTCCTCGTGATGCGTCCGGCCCGTGGGCTGGCAGTTTGACAACCCTGCTCTATTCTATCAAGTAGTATGTGTGGTACAAACCACACAAAATAAGATGGAGAGCTGCATGCACACTGCAAGTTTGAAATCCTGGTTTAGATAATACCATATGTGAAATGAACTTTAACATGTGATGGTCATTTGTCTTGTCCTTCTTTATCTGCAAGAGAAGGAAGTGGCATCCAACCAGGAAATTGACTTTTCCTCCTTTTTCATTATATTGAGAAAGCCCAAGACTTACCTTGGCTCGACCTTATCCCTCTAACCTTCTAAAGGCCTTTTAGAAAGTCTTCAAACCTTCTAAATCCAGGTTTGAGCCAAGGCTGTTAAACATGAATACCTACATCTTACCAATGCAGGATTCAGTTGTGAATTTCACACATTGTAAAGAAAGAAAAGAAAGCAAAACAAAATATTTTCTTATTAATTTAAAAAAATAGGTAACATTTTCCTTAGGTTTTTGAAAAATGATACATCATTACAAGTGTAAATTAAGATGTGAATGTACATTTCCACCGCAGCCAGCAAGGTAGATGCAGTTCATGTCGTGCTTGACAGACACCTTGTCACTGGACAAAATGAAAATTCTACTGTGGCAGCTGTGCAGAATCTTATTTTTCTCTGCAATGGCAGGTAAGAAAACACAGGTGACATTACTAATAAAATACAGAATTTTTGCTTTTGCAAATGCATCCCTGCATCACTGTAATCAGCTTTGGTAATTTGTGCCAGCATTCTCCATCCCTACCTCGAAATGGAGTCAGTTTGAGGTTGTTGCTAGAAATTTGTCAATTTGAGGCTGTTGCTAGAATAAGAGGTAGTATTCTCAAACACTTTATTCCTTAAATGTATCAAATGGAAATCTTTCTATACTGATTAATTCAATATAATGTTTCTTTCAGCAGAAAATGACGGAAATATCCCTGTGACTGAGCAGAATAAATGAACATGGAAGAATTATTTGACTTGTGAAAATTGCTAACCTTTCATTTATCAACCAATAGAGAACACAGCTGATTTCTAAAGGTGGCATTTTGTTGCTCAAGAACAAATAATATTCTTAAATCTATATAGTAAGGCTTGCCTGTTATCAGATGTGACAGTATTCATAGACATTCATTGTTTGTATGAGTCTAAGAATAATATATTTTCTCCTACCTCCCACTTTCATAAACTAAGGATAAATTGATTTGAAAGATTTCAGTTACAGTTTCCTGTGTTTCTGAACTTCCATCAACTGTAATCTGTTTAAATCATTTCTTCTTAGCTAAGTTTCCCATTGATCTGGCAAAACCAGTGTAAGATCTGGGCTGAGTAAGTAATCTGATAAATCAAGGCTGAATATTAGCTCCACGTTATCATTTCAGATTGTGAATTAAGTTTCAGGCTATGGGACTATATAGTGACTTTCTCTTTTCATATATAGGAATACATGTTGTAAAGTTTACAGTGAGAGATATTAATATTACTAATAACAAGTGAACTTCAAGAAAAGGAACAATTAACTGTAAAAATAATTTTAAAATGGGATAGGTTAATTTTATTTAATAGAGTTAGTTAATGTTTTCCATGTGTTCATTCGTTGTAGCATGACAATAGTGGTTCATTTATTTTGCTTACTATAGAAAGCTTTTGATTGATTAAATTTTTACTTCAGTTTTGTTTGTGTTGTGTAACTTCGTGATAGTGATTAACCATATTTGTGAATATAATTTTTCAATTTTATTCTTTAACTAAGTCATTGACAATGTGAAGGATTCGCACTAGCTTATTAATTATATTCAAGTTGTAGGTTGTAGAACTTATTTGTTAATGGTAGAAATAGTACCCTGCTTGCATAGATTATGTACAGCACAATTTTGACTCAAGACTGAAGAAGTACTTGACATTTTCCTGCAAACTACTTTGAGAATCAAGGGTTAGATTCCTATAATAGACTAAACACACCAGCCAACCCCTGTAGTCTAGTGTGAATCTATTCCATATGGTTACCTTAAAGATTGTGTAAACTCAGACAGTTTGGTTGGGTAATGCAGACAGTCATAGAGTAGTTTTACTGCAGCACAGGAACCAGAGGAAGGATGCATTCCATTATTATTTTTTAAAAAAGCAGACTACCTTGTCCAATGCATTTGCGTGCAACACCAAAAGAAAAGCAACTTTTCCAGAATTACAAAACTTAAAAAGTTTCAATAGTACTTGAGCTCTGGTTTTTTTTAGATTCCATTATAATACCCGTCCAATAATAAAAGAATAGGTAGCCGAGGATTGAACTGTGGATTCAACCAGAACAGTGCTCAATATTGATGTTACTTAGTCAGATAATGAAACATCTGCAAGCAAACAACCACATTCAGAGTACCAAAGATTTCAGTGTATAATACCCAAGGTTTGCATTTTGTAGAAATTGTTCCATTGTTGCCAAGTGGACAGCTTAGGGGGGAAAAAAAACAAGTTAGAGGAGGTTACTGATGTATTACTCCCAAGTTGCTATCAGTAGTACTTTAAAACTACTCAGAACACCTCTTCCTTGCATAAAAAGAATATTGTCAGTTAATAAAGCAGTATAAAAATATATGGACACAATCTACATTCAGATTATGATGGGAAAATAGAAATGCTTAATGAAATACATGAATTGACTCATGCTGCCCTTAGATACTACCACTATACTTGTTCCTAAGGTGCTTTTTTTTCCCTAAAAGGCAACCGGACTGACTTTGTTTTTCCAGGAAGACATTTTGCTTCTTATCTAAGAAGCTTCTTCAGTTCTTACTGAATGGTGGGAAATGAAAGGATTTCTATTCTTTGCAGTCATCTGATCATCACCTGGTCACCACTATACTTTTAAATCAGAACTATGCCAGACTGAGATCTCCTCCCCAGTACTGCCATTAGAGGTCTGACAGAGTTTGATCCAAAGAAATAGTGTACTATTAATGGCCATTTGAAAAGAGCTTTGCTACTGTTTGAAACTCACATTTAAAATGGGGGAAGGTACTGAAGATGTTCAGTGCAGCTGCAACAATGCCTCAGATTCTGAGAAAAGCAATATCGGTTTAAAGTTTAGGCATGTGGGCAAAGAAGCAGACAGGAGTATGACCTAGGCCAGGAGTAGGCAACGTTGGCTCTTTTATGACTCGTGGACTTCAACTCCCAGAATTCCTGAGCCAGCATGGCTGGCTCAGGAATTCTGGGAGATGAAGTCCACGAGTCATAAAAGAGCCAACGTTGCCTACCCCTGGCCTAGGCCAAAATATCACTAAGCATCGAAACCCTAGTTAGAGATTTGGAGATCACAAATCAGAGACAAACAAAGCTGCTCTATCTTGGGGAGAGGAAGCAGCACAGTGGCAACAACAGCTGGAGAAAGAGACTGCATTATAATTTAGATTTATATCCCCTCTTTTGTTTGTACAATTCAAGCTTTTCCATATTTCTCCCTCCTATTTTTCCATCACAATAACCCCGTGAGACATAATTCATTCTACAAGAATAGGAGGGAAGCTCTTCATAATTGTAAGAATGGAATGTTTATAAAACATGCTTGTTCAAATCTTACAGTAATTTTGTTTGTAGAAATAGCATGTACACATCCTTCAAACGGAGGACTTGCCTCAACAGGAGTCAAGAAATCTGTATAAAATGTATGTTTTATTCTTTTGGAATGCACCCATACATCAGAATGTTTTATCATTATTAGTAATAGTACCTTGAAGAAAAAAAGCTAGGCAATTGGTCCTTGATGTATCTGCAATATAGTGAAGAATAAAAATATTGGTAATACAGAATTGTAATATTACAATCCTGATATATAAAAGCACAGCAGACCTGAAGAATTTTTCTCTGCAAATTCATATAGAAACCTGTGACTACAGAAAATCTTTTCGTATGCAGCATGTAAATCTTTACATCTATATAGCATCCATAAAATTTGGCATGTCTACTTTCCATTTGCAGTACCGAACATGCGTTCCTAAAAAAGGAGAAAAAATACAAAAATTAACAGGCACATTGGTTGCAGACGTTTTAAGAAATCATTGCCATTTAATGTACAAGAAGAGATTGGCAAATAGAATTTCACCTATTTAAGGATGAAGATACTAAGACCAATGCAGAACATGCAGTAGCACTGAAAATCAGAAAATAACTTGCAAGTGATATACAGTTTAGCATTTATCAATTTTGAATTTATATACCTGCAGTCTGTTTAAATTTCAAGTTAAAAAGTTATAAAAAGTGGAGTTATTAATACAGGAAAAGGAGAAACCAATTTCATTTTGATTACGGTATTTTCTTTGAGTCAAGAGAGGAGCATTTAAGATTTTTTTAAAAATTCATTAAATGTTGAAAATCTATGTGCTAGTTTTGAATGTCACATGTGAACATCTACCAATCCAATGTTAATATAAACATTTTAAAAAATATCCAATTTATAAACTTTAGCACTGTTAAGATACTTAAATTTAGGAAGTTTAACTTATCAAAGATATTTCAGATTTATAAAAGAAAAGCACAATAGTATAACCTAGGATCTGCTATGTAAGAATTTACGGTGATTAGTTTTAAAGTGCATTTAATTCTATATGGAAAATAAATAAAATCCATAATTATAAATGGATTATGGGACCAACAGCCTAATTACAAAATAATGCACTTATACTTTAAATCTGTTCACCAATAATTTGCTATTCAATTGATTTTATATTTAACATTAGTATCATATATGAAAACATGCAACACAAAATACAAATAAACTCAGGTCGACATTTACATCTGCAATACTTGTGAAATGTACCATTTGAAGGAACTTTGGAAATATAATAAGAAACCCTTAATTTTTACCTTTATCATGACTTCCAGTTTAACTGCATCAGCAGCAAATTTTCTGATTCCATCTGACAGTTTCTCCTCAGCCATTTGGTCTTCATTATGAAGCCAACGGAATTTCTTTTCATCTAGGTGGATCTTCTCCAAGTCAGATGCCTGAGCTGCATTGAAGATGATAGAAGTAACAAATTATGGGAGTAGGCAATGGTATATTTTATTATTATACTAATGGTACAGTTATCACAGGGAATCCTGAATCTCAACATCTTACAGAAACCATTCAGTTAACTAATATGTGGGTATTGATATTATCCTTTGAGTGCCATAGCAAAAGTCTTACATATTCCTGAATAGTAAATATATAAAAAAAATGCTGATGTATCTCTTTGAGACATTGGTTTTTTTTTTTTAAAAATGAACTTATCTATTGAGTACCGAAAGGATTAACATTTACACATATACAGCCCTCTGTAAATATTTACATAAACTCAAATCTTACACTTTGAGAGGATGTGGTAAAAGAACATTGTTAAACTTTTTTATTGAGCGGTGTTTGTCTACCCTACATGTTAGTAAGACAGAAAACTTACCATCTTTGACGTTCAGTTTTGGTGTTAGCTTGCTGTTATCTTTACTGAGCTCTCCCAGAAGTTTAGGTGAAATGGTGAGAAAATCACAGCCAGTCAGTGCTTTGATTTGTCCAGTGTTCCGAAAAGAAGCTCCCATTACAATAGTTTTATAGTCAAACTTTTTGTAATAATGATAGATTTTAGTGACACTCTTTACCCCTAAAAGAGAATATAAGGTAACTATTTAAAGCAATTACTACTTTATTCAGAAGCAAAGAAACTCTCAGAATGGCTTATTTTCAAATACTAAATATTTTAGGCCGATTCAATTACAAACTTAATTTCTTAGCCACATTTATTCAGTTACCTGGGTCCTCTGATGGCTCATAGGTTTTTTTGTCTGTATTTGCAACATACCAATCGAGAATACGCCCAACAAAAGGAGAAATGAGGGTGACCCCTGCTTCTGCACAAGCAACTGCCTGAGCAAAGGAAAAGAGCAAGGTCAGATTACAATGAATCCCATGTTGCTCTTCAAGAATCCTGTAAGATAAAACAGACCAGAATTATTTTTCCTATCAGTATCACTTCTGTTATATATGCAATTTTATTAAATACTGTATATACAATTTTATTTTGAAACGCGTTACTTTTTTAAAAATGTCTTCTCAGTGAGTCAGGACCCTTTGTTTTCTTTGTGGTTAGTGGGATATGGGCAATATGTTATGCTAGCTTGCAAAGTGGTCTCTGCGTTATAGATCCTAGCTTTCATAGAATAGCATAAGCTTAATTGGAATAAAATAGAATTTCAGTTTTGCTTGTGGCATACAGAGTAAAACATGCCAAGATGAACTACTTGTGACATGGATGTGACTACTCCTCTCTCTCTTATTAAAAAGTGTTCTGTGAAAGCTTTGACTGGTGAAACATGATGGGAATCAAAATCTATGGTCTCATCTAATGATGATCTCAGCATATGGAAATTGCAACTCAGACTGTAATGTGATCCAGGAAGGAATAAATGTGATCCTGCAGGGGAAATTATTCTGTTAGTCAACATGAATGGATGAGTAGGAATATAAAAGATACATGAAAATTGAGTCAGCAACAAATTAGAATGAGTGCTTTGTTAGTATCTACTTAGAAAAACATCTCCTAGTTCTGAACCTATTGTTTAAACACACATCTGTTCATCTGTTCAAATGGCAAAAGAAGAAATTTAAATCTGAAATAATGATTTATTTGCTTATTTATAAGATTGAGAGAATCAGTTAAGGATACAAAACTATAAAACAACTGAAAGAAGCCATACAAGATTGGAAAACATGGAGAGAACTGGTCCGTAGAATTGCCAAGAATCAGAGCTGACTGAATAGACAGCACCATCATATATACTGAATTAATGTAAATCAGGCAACCCCTCTCAAAACTATTATGAAAAAAGCTGTTGACACTTGTGGTTCCCAAGTCTTTATAATGGAAAAGTAAAGAGGTTTGTGGTTTTAAATAATTTTAAAGTCTTAGCTTTACTTAGCTTTACTACTAGCTAAACTGTAAATAAGGTTTTTTTTCCCCTCAGCTCACCTAATCAAGGTCTAAAGCCTTTAACAATAGGTGTGGCAGACATACAGAACTATACATCTGATGTATAGAACTATATTGAACTGGAAACCTATCTTGGTACCCTGGTTGTTCAGCACACCCAGGAGGAAACAGTAGAAAGTACCTCACTCCCCACACAGAGAGCAGGAGCTTGATTGTCAGGATAGCTGCTTCTGTACCCACTACCACATCCTATCCCCAGTGCCAAACTGACAGGCCCCACTGGGCCTTGATATGCAACAAGACTGCAGCTGCCTGTTGGCTTGTCACGCCATGTCTTCTTCTTAAGGGGTGGGGGCAGGGGTAGAAGGGTTCTGTAGCTTCGGTCCAATGTTGGCATTCTGCTGTCCTGTGTCTGGTCATTTCTCTCTTGTTATGTTGGGTGAGGAGTGGACTGCATAAAATGACCTGGGGGGCTTTAAGTTTGAGGCTTCTGATGTAGCATGTTGCAAGAAATAAATGTATCTTAAAAGAAATAAAAACGGCTGTGTTGTAACTGCATGTTTTTCTGCCACGTTTGTTAAATGGAAATGAAAACTGGCTATATTGGAGGAAACCTAAAAGATGAATGTAATCAAAAAGATGAAAAATGTAATCAGAATGAGCTATTTTAAGAAGTGTGTATGGTAAAAATAGACAAGGTGGGGTCAAGGCAGAAATTCCTGTGCAGAAAGTGACAAACGGAATATTAAATAGCCATCAAATAAGTCTTATATTACCGTTCCTGGTATACTTACTTGCCAGCTTGGATGCCTTCCCATGTTGATGACAGCTTGATGAGTATACG